ATAGTCAATTGATGTATTGATAATGCCACTAAAGAAATTTGATGGGAAGGAATGTACTTTTTAATAAATAGTGCTGGAACAGCTAGATAAACATAAGGGAAAATGTTAACCTTGATCCCTAGCTCAAACTACATAATTTTTAGTATAGTACACACCTATACATAATTCTGTCATTGCAAAGTCTGTAGGAGAACAAAGGAGAAGATCCTTTCTTTAATGTTTCCATTTATTTTTATTTGAAAGGAAGATGTACAGAGAGGAGGAGAGACAGAGAAGATCTATCTGATGGTTCACTCCCCAAGTGGCTACAACGACTAGAGATGAGCCAATCCAAAGCCAGGCCAGGAGCTTCCTCCGGGTCTCCCATGTGGGTGCAGGGTCCCAAGGCTTTGGGCCATCCTTGACTGCTTTCCCAGGCCACAAGCAGGGAGCTGGATGGGAATAGGAGCTGCTGGGATTAGAACCAGAGCTCATATGGAATTCCAGTGCTTTCAAGGCAAGGGCTTTAGCTGCTAGGCCACCACGTCAGGCCTGAGAATATCTTTTTGATTTTAGGATACAGAGATTTCTCAGGGAAAATTCCCAAACTCCTGAATATATAAAAGGAAAAAAAAATAAGACAGAATTAAAAACTGATGTTCATCGAAGGAATAAAAAGGCACTTCAAAATTGGGTCAGGGCAGCGGGGAGAATCTACAATGCATGATCTGACAAACATTTGTATCAGGATTTATATTCAGTATATAAAAAATTTGTAGGGTTCAAGAGTGAAAGTCCAATTTTGAAAGTGGAGCAGACGACTTGAACAAACTTTAAAAGTCCAATGAAAGTATGAAAACGTGTGTAACATCTCTTGTCATCTGGAAATGCTGATTGAAATTCTCATGAAGTACCATTACACGCCTTACAGAATAGCTAAAGCAGGAAAAGACTACAATGCTGTTATGGATGTGCAAGAAGAACTCTCATACAATGATGGTGAATGTAAAATGGTGCAACTGTTTGGTAATTTCTTACAAAGCTAAAAGCAAACCTATGTTTTAAGCTGGCTTCATTCCCAAGGATTTACTAAAGATAAATGAACACACATATCCGCAAAAAGATGCGTACATTAACAGTTATATCACCTTAATTCATAGTCACCCCCAACTGGAAACAACACAGGTGCTCATCAATAAGAGGCTAGACAAGTGTGAAAACTACTGTGTGGTTCCATTTATGTAAGTTGAAGTACAGGGTAATGATGAATGGTGACAAAAAGGAAACAGAGGTTTCCCATGGGAGTGGAAACTCACCAGCGAGGGATGTGAGTCCCCTTGCTGGGCTTCGAGGATTGTCCTTTAATCTGTGTTGGCATGACTACTGCACCAGACCTCACCATGCACTTCAACTCTATAGCATCATCACCATCCTAAGTGATCACAGTACCTGATGTTTGGCACAGAATGAGGGCAGGGAGGCCCATTGAGTGGTTGTTATAAAATATATCAAGTATATATACAATCTATAGGCATATACAAGTATAGAGCTTTTGAGAACATGTTAAAAGTGGCCAGATTTAAAATCTTTGGGAAGACGAGTCAAGCCTGAATCTTTATAAAGTTCATTAATTTGTGCATTTCACTTGGATCTTTGTCTTCCTGAAAAAATTTAAGCTAATTATGCAAAAAAAAAATTGCCTCCAATAGGGCTGAGAAGACAGAGCAAAAACCTGAAATATCAGAAGGTAGACAGATGCAGCAGACATGCCAGTCTGGGGACTGGTGAGAGAAAGGAAAGATTGAGAATGGAATATGTGAATATCCAGGCTGCCGGTGCTGTGGAGTGTCGGGTGGTTTTCTAACATTAAAAGACAGAAAACTGAGGCTTGTATAAACTGAACCAATTCCAAATCATGTTAATTTTTAATTGGGGGAGGTATTGCTCAAGCAACCCTGACCTGAAAATCCAGAAATCCAAAATTCTACAAAATCTGAAACTTTTTGAGCATCAAAATGATAATGCAAGTGACAAGTTCCTCATCTGATCTCAGGTGTGAAACCTTGTGTTTAGACTTGGGTCCTATCCCTAAGCAATTTCATCATATATGTGAAAATATTACGAAACTAAAAGATGTACAGCTGAGACACTTCTGATCCCTAGCATTTTGGACAAGTGATACTCAACCTGTGTAGACGTCTTTTTAAGATTCTCTTTTCGACTTTTTACAGGGAAATGTAAATTTTCATAGAATTTGTAATACAGGTCTGCTATATCAAGTACTCTGAAATGAAGAGATGTATTCTGAAAAAACTATCTTCTGTCTGAGATCAAATTCATTAAGAAGAAATTAAGATAGTATGAGTGATGTTTTAGGGTAAGATATAAGTTTGAGGGGCTGGTAATTGTGGTGTAGTGGGTGAAGCTGCCACCTGTGACGCTGGCATTATATATAAACCATGATTTGTGTTCTAGCTGCTTCACTTCTGATTCAGTTCCCTGCAAAAAGCAACAGAGAATGGTCCAAGTGTTTGGCCTCCTGCCTCCCATGTGAGAAACTCGGATGAAACTCTGGGCTTTAGCCTGGCTCAGCCCTGGCCATTGTGGCCATCTGGGGAGTCAACCAGTGGATGGAAGACCACTCTCATTCTCTGTACCTCCCTCTGTCTTTGTAATTCTGACTTACAAAATAAACCTTAAGTAAGGAAATAAGGTATAAGTCTTGTGTTATTTCAACAAACTTTTATGCTGATATGGATATTAAATTTGATTTGAATATATGAAGTGTAAGTGAAGGCAGCTCAACTGTTGATATAGTGGAAATATTACAGAAAGTCAAACAGAAAAGCACATGCTGATTATTGAGTGATTATCATAAATGTAGACAATTCAGTTAATTGCCAGTTCAATAAAAGGAAAAACATCAATAATAGGCATTCTTCAACTAAGAATAATTAGCCAAATTAAAATTAAAAAGAGAATTTTAAGTATGGAAAAGATGTTAAAATGTTTAGTTGACTTCCAAGTTGCACAGTCAACTAAATTAAGCTTCATCTGGGATCTGAAACCTTAGTTTGACTTCTTGAAATGGACCAGTCCAAATGTATGTTTAAATCAAGCTTAGAGAATTCATGGCAGACTCCTTTTGGCATTCCCCATCAGATCTAATAGCAAAGATTGCTGGTTCCTGCAGAGGCTGGGAAAGGGAAATCATCATCGTAAAACATTTATAATGCTCCAAGATAGCTAAATTTGGGGTGGATTTTTCAGTAAATGTGCTTGCAATTTATTTCAGACTGGTGAGTAGCAATGACCAATGTTGGAAACCAATAAGAACAGTCACACTCCTGCACTGGGAGTAGGTAGGAAGAGAATGAAACACGAAGAATGCTAGAACCTTTGGAAATTCTGAGGAGTTTGCTTATTTTTGAAGATTTATATTTGGCTAAAGGAGAGCAGATGGTTTATGGGAAGGCGGGGTCAGCTTAGAATGTCCTAAAGATGATTTGGGAACATTGGGACAGGAGAACTTGAGGACAAGGCTGGTGCTGTCCGGTTGGGTGAACCTGTGGTGCAGGCTGGGCCACATGGAGTCTCAGGGCTCCCTGGTCCAGCGAACTGAGGACCATGAGGGGTCATAGCATAGTGCCTAGATGAGAAAGCTGAACATCTGGTCCCTGGTCCTTACTCTGCCCCTGGCTTGGTAATTCTGGTTGGACAAGTCATTTGACCTCCCTGTGTTGGACTTTTCCTTCTGTTTAACAAGTGTAGTGTTATGTGGGGTTAGCCCTTCCAGCCCTTCACGAGAGGGTTGGTTGTGGGGGTCTGTATCCTCCAAAAAAAGTCATCACTTAACTGCCACAGTTGATTTTTATTATTTGCTGGTAACTGACTCTCTGGTGTGAGCCCAAGTCAGAACCACGCAATGGTTTCTGCTCCAGCCTGGAGATATTTTAGGAAATAATCAATGCAAGATGTATTGGGTTGGAGCCATGATAAGAGTCATAAATCTCGATTGTTTGATAAAATTAATAATGCTCTAGAGAAAACTTGTGGAAAACCTTACAGCACAGGAAAATATAGTGTGACTATAGGGAGAGCTTAAGCCAGTGTGGAACTGAGTGTAATGCTGGGAAAGCTGGTTGTATCCTGTTGCTGCTGCGGCCGTGTTCCTGTGTACACATGCACACGTACTTGCTCCTGCATGACATATGTGTACATAGACACATAGACAGAGAAGCACCCATACATACACATAGGTGTGTCCAGCAATACAGATACACACGTGAACACCCAGATACACACACACACACACACACACACACACACACACACACACACACACACACGAGCAGCAAGCTCCAGTTTTGTTGGTTGAGTCTCAAGACTAGCACCTGAGAACAGTCACCCTTAACTCCAATAATGAATGGCCAACAGCAGCTTGCCCCTGAAGAGCTGCCTCCTTCTATACATGTGCCAGATGCTTCTCCAGATTTAGAATAAAGCAGCTCTGGTGTCTGTCCCCAGTCTTTGCTGGTATGGGACTCTGCTCTTCTGGCTTTAGATCTATTGCTATTGTGTGTCGGGGAGTGAGAAGAGGGTGACAAAGGGGGATGGAAATCACAGGGTATTGAAATTGTCAAAACCCCTAGACAGTCTATACCTGGAAAGGAAGGTGTAGGTTATGGAATTTTCTCTGTGTTAAGTATTTTCCAAAGCTTCCCATCAAGTCTTCACAGCAAGGTTGTTGCCTGTGCGCAAGTCAGGGGTTCTGTATTGGTTAGGGCATCAGTGTAGAGAGGCTGCAGGTCTGGGTCATGTGTAGAGGAACAGACCAGAAGAGCACATTATGGAAAGGTGAAAACCTCTGCTTTGGCACACTGATGGGATGATTTCGTAATTTAAAAGCAGCTTTCATCATGTTCGTGTTTGTAACTGTGAAAGTATCATCATGCATGTGTGATACAAAACTGTGAATTTAAAAGATCAGCAACACTGACGTTGATCTGTCATGTTTTTAGGCAGAGAAAACAAAGAATTTTGTCAGTCGAAGCCTCAGCATTGGGGAAGTGCTGTCCATCGCAGACATGGCCACAGGTGTGAAGGTGAGCGCGCCAGGGCACCTGCTGTTCATGACATCATCTTGCCATGATTGACAAGGGTGGGCACTGCAGCTGGACGCCCTGGGCACGTTGACTGGAACATGGGGACCTCACAATGTGGCCTCCTGACTACCATAATCAAGTCTTGTTCTTGCTTTGCTTTGCTTTTTTTTTTTTAAAGATTTATTTTTATTATTTTTTTTATTGGAAAGGCGGATATACAGAGAGGAGAGACAGAGAGGAAGATCTTCTGTCTGATGATTCACTCCCTAAGTGAGCGCAATGGCCGGTGCTATGCCGATCCGAAGCCAGGAGACTCTTCCGGGTCTCCCACACGGGTGCAGGGTCCCAAAGCCTTGGGCTGTCCTCGACTGCTTTCCCGGGCCACAGGCAGGGAGCTGGAAGGGAAGCGGGGCTGACGGGATAGAACTGGCGCCCGTATGGGATCCCAGGCGTGCAAGGCAAGGACCTTAACCATTTGCGCCACCGTGCCGGGCCCTGCTTTCCCTTTTGTACAACATTCGCACATCTGTATTGGTCACTTCCCCCCCACACTAAGATTTATTTATTTATTTGAAGGACAAAGAGTTACAGAGGGGCAAGGAGAGGGACACACAGCTACACACACATCTTTCATCCACTGGTTCACTCCCTAGAATGGCCATAGTGGTCAGGGCTGGGCCAGATGGAAGCCAGGAACTTTGTCCAAGTCTCCCACTTTAGTGCAGGGTCCCAAACGCTTGTGCCATCCTCTGTTGCTTTTCCAAATGAGTCAGTGGGGAGCTGGATTGAAAGTGGAGCAAGCTGGATGTGAATTAGTGCCCATATAAGGATGCTGGTGTTGCAAATGGTGGCTTAACTTGCTGTGCCACGACGCTGGTCCCTCAGTCACTTATTTTTGTATTAATTTTATAAAAACACTGTCATAGTCACTAATGATTTATTTTCTTAAATATTATTGCCACAAATGATCCATATTATTACACTTGTTTAAGTTAAACCAATATATAGAGAGGAATCTAAGTTGATGGCTGAACTTACTGCATTCCTGCCACTCGCATGGGAGACCCAACTTGAGTTCCTGGTTGCGGGCTTCGGCTCACCCCCAATCCCAGCAGACAGCAACCTTGCCTCTCCTTCTGTCCCTTTGCTCCTGGATGGATTGGCTGTGGTTTTCAGGGAAGAAATGAAGCTGAGATGTAATAAGCAGATAATTTCTGAGTGTCTGTGTCATCCCCACCTGCCATCTCATGGTCATGGGGCAGGGTGCGGAGTCCCCTTCTCTGAGCATCGGGGTTTCATACTGAGCCAAGTGCATCAAGCTGCACTGGGACTGTCTGTGTGAATGTGGGAGGAATGGTCCATGGTTTAAAGCAGACTTCAAGAGCATCTCAGTCGATTGTCAGGGATGGGCCTTGCAACCAAATGAAGAGAAAAATGATGGGTCAGCTAGGGAACCTGAACTTCGGGTATTTGGCAACTTTGGAGAATTTGTGTTATATTTTTAGATGGCTTAATGACTTTGAGTTTTGCTGTTAAAAGAGTTTATCTCTCAGAGGTCTCTAGGAAATATTCAGGGAAGAAACTATCTCATGCCAGAGACAAAGTTGTAGGAAGGGCAGGTGGGTGGGGGCTGGGAATGAAGCAGAGTGGCCATGATGTGGTGTTGTTGAGTTCATTTTACTTCTGTTTTTTTTTTTTTGAACTTTTCTGAAATATATGTTTCTGGGAAAGCTTTACTCTTGAGTATTCTAAAAGGAAATGTGAGCAGACATAAAGGATTGTTCTTTAAAATCCCTCTCTGATCACATCACTCTCTTGCTTCCTCTTAAGCCCAGGAAAAACTCTGCAGTCCTGGGGTGGCCCGGGGTCCTTTCATGGTCTGGCCCTGGTTACCCCTCCAGGTGTTTTCTGCACCACTTCCCTTCTTCCCAAAGAGTCACTGCCAGATTGGTGCCTTTTCCACACCTGTCATCCACCTGTAGCCTACTCTTGCCTTTCATCCTGGGCCTTCTTCTCCTTCCCCTGGTTGACACCTGCTCTTTCTTTAGTTCCCAGTTGAAGCATTCTTGCTTTAAGACATGTGTACCCATTTTGAATCTGTGAGTGAATATTCACGTGGTTACCTCATGCCTCTTAGCACCACTGACAGGCAAACTGTCAACACTAGCAGGCCTTTATGTTCTAGATACATAACAGATGTCAGTGCCTGAATGCTAAGCGACTAATACAGAATCAAAATGCAACAGAGCCTCAGATGGCAAAGCACATAGTTACCGTATGACCCGGCCATTCCACTGAGTAGCTACACAGCCCAACACTTGGAAACAGGTCCTAAACAAATACTGAAATGCCAGTGCTCACCACAGCATTATTCACCATAGCTAAAACCAATGTGCATCAGTTGTTGATTGGGTAGACAAAACCTGGTGTATACATACAACAGAGCATGATTGAGCCAAAAAAAGGAATGATGTTCTGGTACAGGATGCATGGATGAATCTCGAAAGCTTTATGCTGAGTGACATAAGCCAACACAGAGGGAAGGAGAACAAACGAGTCCACTGGAATAGATAGGGTGGGCACATTCAGGGAAAGAAGAGCAGGAAGTTCCTGGCGATGGAGGCAGAAGAATGGAAAGTTATCTTAAAGGGTAAAGAGTGTCTGTCTTGGATGGTCAGAAAGTTTTGGAAGTAGTGATATTCTCACAACATTGTGACTGTGCTTAATGGCACTGAATTACACATTTTCAAATGACAAACTTTATATTGCATATTGCATATACTTTGCCACAATAAAAAACAACAATGGAAAATAACTATTGACTGCTTTTCCACACTTTAGTCACTGTGGCTGACTTTTTTTTCCCTTCCCTGTCCTACTGTCCCCACCCCAACCTTCTACCAATCGAGCTCGGTCATTGGAGAAACATTCACTGTGTGCTGAGTCTGGCCTAGGAGATTATGGCTTTTTTTCCCCTGTTGGTGGTGGTGGAGGGCTGTGGTGGGCTGGGAACTGCTCCTGTGAGCTCTGGTTGGGTCAGGGGGCACCCAGAGCAGCTGGCAGCATCTGCCTGTTACAGGAGCCACCAGCTTGAACAGAAAGTGACAACCTCAGCTTGTCAGTAGCATCGGTGCCTCATGGGCCCAGCCCCTTCTCTGGTTCACTCTGGTCCTGTGTTAATCCAGAGGCTCTATGTCTTCCTTAGCACTTTGAACAAACATGGTTGAACTCATGCAGCCAAGGGCTGGCAGGGCCTGGGGCTGGCTGTGAGAGAGCCCCAGTGGTGTGAAAGTACACACTAGAGAACGCCTGAGAGAAGGACTTCTTCACAGAGGGCCATGAATTCTCACTGCTGTCTGGGCACTAGCCCAGAGTCTTCTGCCAAAAACATGGATGAAATCTGGAAGGTCTCTCTAGCTGAAAGAAATGTGGAATGCTTCTTTTTTTTCTCCCTTGTCTCTGCTCTCCTTTTCCATATTGCCATCACCTGACAATCTGTGTACTTGGCCCTGTGTAACAAAATATCATAGACTTGGGGCTCAAACAATGGACATTTATGTTCTGATGTTCCTGGAGGTTGCCAAGCTCAAGATCATGGTCACAGATTCAGCTGCCATTTGCATCCCTAGTATCCGGTATGGGTACTGATTCAATTCCTAGCTGCTTAGCTTCCAATCCAGCTCTCTGCTAATGTGCCTGGGAGAGCAGTGGAGGATGGTCCAAGTATTTGGGCCCCTGCAATACAGGTGGGAGACCTGGATGAAGCTTGCTCCTGGCCTTGACTTAGTCCAGTTTTAGCTGTGTGGCCATTTGTGGGGGGACGAACCAACAGTTGGAAGATCCCCTCACCCCAACTGTGTGTGTGTGTGTAACTGCCTTTCAAATAAAATAAATAAATAAATAAATAAATGCATAAATACATACATACATAAATAAATATTTTTAAAAGATCATGGTAAGGTGAGACTGCCTTCCCCCTGTGTCCTGTTGTACAGAGAGGTACTGGTCTCCCTTCCTTGCCTTACAAAGGCATCAATTCCAAACTGAAGCCTCAAGCTCATGGTCTCCCAAAGGGCCTAAATGCCTCCCAAAGACATGCCCCCCAAACCACCCCACTGTGGATCAAGGCTTCAGTGTATGAGTGTTGGTGGACATACTTTGGTTCATTATTGTTTCCAGGGATAACTCCTGTCTCAAGATATACTTCCAGTACCTTGTGTATCCCAATTGCTCTCGGAATGAAGATTCCAAAATGTACCTGCTATTGGTTCATTGTGCAGGAAGCTGATGGCTTATCACAGTGATGGTGCTGGCAGGCTACCAGTATGCATGCACCAGCCCATTGTGACAGGGACACAGTCAGCAGTACATGGACTCACATTCTTTGTCTAGCACTTCCCAGCCGTATTCTGGCAGGTTCCTTCCTGTATGTGTACTGTGCTTGTCTCATCTGCAACAAAAGCTACTAATGCTAATGCCCATGCTAAGTCATGTCTAGACTTAAACTGGAAATGCCTAGGAGTCTGTGCTCAGTCTGTCTGGGAGCAGGGGTTTGCTCAGTGGTGAGGGTGCCAAGCCCCTGAGTCGTGGCTGGGAACTCTTTCCAAGAGTCTTCCAGGTAGTGACTCTGCGGATGCATTGAAGCGAAAGCAACCTGCTTTCCCACGTGTCTCCCACCGTGGCCTCTGAGGTTGCTGCCAGCCCTGGCTGGCTGTCAGGTGTGCTGCCTGTTTGCCTTTGGCTTCTCCACATGAATGAGGAAGGAGGCAAGGCACTCTCCTCAACAGGCCACACCAGGCTGGCAATGTGATGGAAGTCAGGGCTTTCATCAGGTGTCCCCTCCTTGTAGGTCAGTTATTACTGCTTTTCCCAGCATGTCACAGGGCAGATTAGCCTCTCAGCTTCCTGGCCCTGAGATTTGCTGGGTGGCAGAATGTTGGGCAGGAATAATAACGGTGCATATACTGCTCTCTGTGGAGGCCACTTGGTATTTTCCTTGTGATGGAATGATGCTCCTCTTCAGTCTGTCTCAGTATCTTATTGAGTCTACCACCTGCTCCTGGCATTTTCTGTCTGTTCTTGGATTCCCTTTCAAGTTGCCCCACTGCAGTGTGGGCCTCTGTCCATGTGGTGACCCACTATTCTCCTAGAGTCCTATCTTGCCTACTTCTCCCCAATCCAACTTATTAACTGTGTAGCCAGGACTTACCAGGTCTCAACTCTCCCTGTTGATCACCTCAGTCAGAACTGCCTCTGTCATTCACCTGCCTGTCCCTCCTCCCAGGAAGCACATGCTGAGAGCATGTCGGTCCAGGGAGCCACTTGCCCTTGCAGGAGGCCCAGAATGGTTAGCTTACCTGTTATTCAGGCAGTGTGACTGAGCTGGAGAAGAGGCCCACATTTAACCTAACTGTGTGGACTGGCATCAAGCAGATACCACCTGTCAACAGTTGCGGTTCCCTCGCTCAGCCTAGGATTCCTAATCCTACATTTCAGTGAAGGGAAGATTTCAGAGCATGGCAGGAACAAACCAAGAGTTTCTCTCTTCTTAAAAAGGAGGAATGATTCAGTGCAGGAAAGGATGTAAATCCCAGAAAGAATATATTGCAAAAAAGGCAACTGTCACCAGCCAAGGAGATTTAGGGGTGGAAAATTTCAACTTGTTTTGATACAAATAATTTGTTTTACCTTGATTTCCAAAATGGGTTAGGGGAAAAGCATGCTCTATTTGGACTGATTCCACTTTCCCATGTTGGAGTGGAGCAGTTTGTAGTGTCCAGGATAACTCCCTGGAGAGGCGCTGAACAATCAGGGTGAGAAACATCTTCCCAGGGTTTGCTGTCAGGAATTGAATGACAAGCACTTCATCTTGCTAATGTGATGAGTGAAATTTATTCCTCCCAGTGCCAGAGCTGTGGGAGTAGATCAAGTGCCATTCACGAAATTAACTCCTGGCTGAGGATACACACAGAGTGCAGAGAGCTCCTTCAGTTGTAGTGACCACACAAAAAGGTCCAATCCCAACTTACTAAAGCTAAAAAATTAAAAAACCCATTTAGTGGCTGCTGTGATCGCCGAGCCGAAGTGGTGTGGATGTGCAGGATGTGGGCTCTCATCTCTTGGCTCTGTCTCCTCCAGCACCTTATTTCCCACATATCAGCTTCATTCACCAGCTGTGGCAACGTGGTTTCCAGCAGCACTGGGTCTCCATTCCTCCACATCTTATTACAGCAAGAAAGGGAGCTTTTCTCTCCCAGTTGGTTGCTTACATGTCCTAGAATGCACTCTGAATGAACGTAGCCGGTCCTTACGGTCAGGGAGATGATACTGTGCAAATTGCCAGTCTCAGATCAGTACTCATCCTGGGATCAATATTGCCTAGAACCACTTGGACTAATTCTGGAGAGAGGGTGCTTGCCAGAGGACAGGTGGAGATGTGTGGCAGGGAAGGGGAAAGATGCTGACCTGAAGATGCAATAAATGTCAGTGCACCTGCCTTCTGTCTTTGCAGCCAGTTGCTCTGTTCCTTCCAAATGCTCAAGTCACTTTCTTCCTCTCCTTTCTGGTCAGTAACACTTTCCCAGAGTTTTTAGAAGACCAGGCAAAGTACTTAGTGGTTGGCTCTCATTGACTCCTCATGGCAACGTGATGACGTTGTAGTTGTAGGCCTTAACTAGCTGAGATTTCAACCTCAGCGACTCCCAAGGTGCAACTTTGGTTGAGTCAACTTTGCCACTCTGAGTGCCAGCATCCTTAGTAGGAGAGGTGATGTCTTTTTCATAGGGTTGTTGGGGGACTCAATCAGCTTGTGTGTGGAGGAACAAATGACAACTTGAGAAGTGGGTACGTTCGTTGTTTGCTCCATTCCTCACATGAAGAAATTGACAACACTGTACCATTGGCCAGCTATCTCCTAGCCGAGGGGTAGCTGAACCCACTGGTAGCTGGGGCCCGGGCTGTCATAGCTGAAGCCAAGCTCATTTTGCAGCATTCATCTTCCATTGGCCCTCTTCTTGCTGACTGCTTTTCATGCAGGCGCCATCCTTGCAGACTGCAAGAAACAATTGAGATCATTGCACAAGTACGTGATAGTGTCTGAGCAAGAAGTCATGCTCAGAACAGTCATCTGCTGGGATTAAAGGGGTTGGCTGAGGCTGGAGAACTGAATCACTGTGGAGCTGGGGTGTCCTCACCTAGATGAGGGTCCAGGAGTTGTGTCTGCAGAGAAGCACTGCAGCAGGCCAGGCAGGAGAGGGTGTGGACTGCAAATTTGCCACTGGGGCGTTTTTGGATAAATCTCAGGAGCCGAGCAGGTGTTCCTTGAGTGGAGATTGGCCAGCTGGTTTAATTATCTTGAAATTGTTGATTGGTACTAACAATGGTTTGCATTGTCTTTATTTTTAGTGTGGAATAATTTATTGGCTGTTTGGTGGTGTTATCAGGAATCTCGGGAGCCCTGGACATGTTACTAAGTGGTTTCAGCTCCTCCAGGTATGGTGTGTACCTTGATAGCTCTCTGCTGTGGACAGTCTTAGAAATCTGTAGTACTTAGATGTGTTAGTGTTTGAGAAAGCAAACAAGCAAGAAAGCAAGAAAGAGGAAGTTTGACAGAATTTGAATTTCTAGGCTATTCTATTTGTGTTGAATCTTATTATTAATCTCACTTTAGATGTCATTAGACTGAATGTTTACACTTTTTTCCAACTTACCTCTTGCTGTTTTCACCCACATTGTAAATGGTTGGAGAGGTCTGTAATTGTAGCAACTGTTTTGGCTTATCCTCCATTACCATAACAAAATGCCCAAGGCTAGGTACTTTGTAAAGAAAAGAGGTTTGTTTGGCTCAGTTTTGGAAGTGGAAGGTCCAAGATCAGGTAGCTCCATTTTTTTCCCACCCCTGGTGAAGGCCTTGTTCCAGATGGTATCACTGTGGGAGTCTGTGTGGAAAGGATCACCTGGTGTGCAGAGGGCCCAGGCCCTCCTTCAGAACAACCTTCTGTGGGTGTTAACTAGCCTGTGAGAACTACCTTAACCCCTTCCAAGGGTGGCAACTCCAGTGCTCAACCACTTCCCATTGAGCTCCCATCTCAAAAAGATTCCACCGTCCCTCATATCACCACCCTGGGGACCAAGCTTCTAGCATCCAACCCCTTGAGGGACGGACCATTTCCAGACCTCAGCAGCCTGCTTCTGACTGATGAATCCCCTTCTAACACTAGGAGCAGAAATACACCGGGATGTTTGCGATGACTGAGCGGGGCCACGGCAGCAATGTGAGAGGGATCCAGACTGAAGCCACCTTTGACCTCTCGGCACAGGTGAGGATTCACCATTCTTCTTTTTAAAAGATTTATTTAGTTTTATTGGAAAGTCAAATTTACAGAGAGAAGTAGAGACAGAGAGAAAGATTTTCTGTCTACTGGCTCACTCCCCAAGTGGCAGCAATGGCTGATGTTGAGCCAACTCCTGAGCCAGGAGTTTCTTCCAGGTCTCCCACACAGGTGCAGGGTCTCAAGGGTTTGGGCTGTTCTTGACTGCTTTCCCAGGCCACAAGCAGGGAGCTGGATGGGAAGTGGAGCAGCCAGGACAGGAACCAGCACCCATATGGGATCCTGGCACATGCAAGGAGAAAATTTTAGCCACTAGGCTACTGTATCAGGCCCAGGATTTGCCATTCTACAGTTCAGTGCCACAAGTGGCCTGGGCAGATCAGACTTCACTTCCTGGGTTCAGAAACTTCGCTTTCTGGGTCTTTGCACCTGTGGTATGGCTGTCCTCGAGGAGGAGCTCAGATTCAAAGTGCATGTGTAAATGTGCAGTTAAAGTGGATGTGTGCCCAGGTTTCAGGAATCTGACCTCAGCCAGTACTTCTACTCTACCTGCCATGGGCTGGGCATGCTCCATGTGGCTCACATGCCCTTGTCAACTCAATCCCTGTGGCAGCTCCATGATAATAGTGCTGAAGCTGTTTGCAGTCCCTCCTAGGAGTCACAGAATTAGAAGAGGTAGTTCTGTGGGCACACTTTTTTGCACTGGGGCAGGATAATTCCTTAACCAGGAGCCAAATCCTCCAGGACGGTATGGTCATACCTCAGTGTCCGCAGGAGACCGGTTCCAGGACACCCCGCAGAGACCAAAGTCCCTCATAGAACATTCTGTAGCACTTGCATGGAAATCCTCCTGCATGTTTCAGTTCCTCTCCAGCAGCCAGCACAATCTGATTCTGTGTCTCTGTTGGTGACGCTGGATTGTTTAGGGAGCAGCCAGAACAAAAAAGCCCATAGATGCTCGGTATAGTCATTGATTTTTTCCCCCCTTTTTTCTGATCTTTTTGATTCATGGTTGTATCCATGGAACTTGCTGGTACCGAATGCCAGTGGTTTCAAGGGAACGTTTGGGAGTGGGGCCTGCAGTAGCAGTTGACACAACAACCAAAGCTTCTCTAATCATTCTTACCTTGTCTATCCCTTCCATATGTGGTATACTCTGATCTTTCTTCCCATTTCTCTCTCTTCCCTTCCCTTTTGTTTATTGTTCTTTCTTTTCCTTTACTTCCTATCAATTAAAAACATGTTGATCAAGGCTCTGTATATCGGGTTCTGTGCAGCCTAGGGTCGCCGGCAGCACTTGAATACTCAGCTCTGCCATGCTCCCTTCTCCAGCAGCTCCTCCTTGCTGAGTTAATAAAGCAACCATTTACCTACTTTCCTTCCTATTTGCTTGTATTGGGCATTCCTAAGGACAACAAAGGAATCAGTAAATCTTCAAGTTCTTCCTGGAATGACTCTTTGTACATCTCTGTAAGCAGGAGCCTGCTTGTCGGCTGCGTTGCGTGACTGTGGGCACTTAGTCTGTTCTTCATTTTCTCTGTTTCTTTATTCCTTCCTGACAGAAGAATAGAGGGAGAGAAAGAGATGGGGACCAAGATCCAGGCACTTGACCTGGGTCTCTCATCTCGGTGGCAGGGATCCTGGTCACTCAAATCACCACCCCTGCTTCCCAGGGGCTCCAGGAGGCAGGAGTCCAGAGTCAGAGCTGGGTATGGAGCCCTGGTGCTCTGTCTTGGGAGTGGGAGTATTAACCACCTTGGCAGACACCTACCCCTAGGCTGGATTTTTGTTAGCAGGCTTTCCTGGCCGTGGATGCTGGTTAGAGATTAGGCTTCACAGTGACAAAGGGCTGTTTGGGGAGATGTCTTGCAGACCCTCCTGCCCTGGTGTGACTTCTCTATGGTAGCCAAAGGTGTCCAGGGCTCAGGAAGGACAAGAGTCAGTGCTTCCGTTTCTGAGCCCTCACTGCATGTCCTGTCCTGTATCCAGCCCTGTCTGCATGGTGTCCAGTAATCCTTCTCAGCCACAATCCCAGAAACACAACATTGAGGGTCCTTAGATTAGTCCCAGTGTGCAGGGGTAAACACTGTGTCAAATGTCCTAACACCTTATTACTGCCTCTGCTTTATAAAGACAGGGAAACTGAGGCTTACAGAGGCTAAGAAATGGGCTCTGACTACACAGTTCATGAGTGAGCCTTAAGTTCCAGTGGGACGGCTCCTGACAGTGTGGCTTCCCCACCAGTGACAGTGATGGATTCTGGCTCACCAACTTTTCCTCTCCCCAAGCCATGGCATTGAAGTCACCTTGCTGTCATTCATGGAATGGAAAAAGAACAAAAACAAACCCCACAATTCCAATTTATTTGTTTCTTCTTAACATGATTTTTTTTTTCCCTTACAAAAATAATTTTCTGTGCTGGTCTCATTTTCCCCAAACAGCATAAATGATTTAGCTACCTGGTGGGCCCCAGCAGCTGCCACTTTCTGACAGGGGAGTTGCAAAGTTGAGACTGTAATGATGGGGAGACCCTGGAGGACGCTGTCTCCTGGGGAAGGGGGCGGGAAGGAGAAACCGCACGCTCATCACAGACACACGGCGACCAGGACTGACAGCGGGAATGGGTTTCTCCCTCCGCTGGTTTCTGTATTTTCCCCTTCATTTCCTCTTGAAATCGTCAGAGCTGATGAAATGAGCATTTTGTCCCTTAAGGACTATTTAAATCTCTTACACTTTTTGGTTATTCGTGCCTGCAGGTTGGTGGTTTGAATTTTGTTTGGAGGAGGGGCTGGGATTGCATAGAGACAGAAAGAGGCAAAGAGGCGGGAGAGAGCTTGCTCTTTACACGGTATGCTGAATAGCAAAGGTACCTGAGGCTGTGAGCTGCCTGGGCCAGGCCATCACTTTGTCATTATGTGGGACAGATAATCATGGCAGTTACCAGCATGCATGGTGTGCGTTCTTTAAATCCAACTCTAACTGCTGCGTTTTGGCAGATGTAAACTTTCCAAAACAAGACTTGTGCCAGAAGTGACGAAGCTCCTTTCCTGGATGTACAGGATGGTGGCGGGACCCATGGCACTCTGCTCTCTCCCAGTCCTAGAAGATCTTTTGTCCTTGGCTGGTTTCCTTTGTTGCTTCCATTCCTTTCCCTGAAGGGTGAGCCTCTCTCCTCAGCACTGTTTTGCTGTTTCTCTCCCAGCACTGCCCCCAAGCTCAAGTTAACTTGTCACTCTGTGAAGTCCGAGCTGGCCCGACAAAACAGCGGCGGCCTCCTGAGAATTCTCTGAAAAAGATTCAACTTATCCTTATCTGTTTATAGTTCTGAAAAGCTATTGCACGTGCTAAACGTTTCCCCACGCAAACATGTGTCAGAGAATGTTTTGTTAGGCTTCAAGACTGTATTTTTTGGCCTAAGGGAAAGTACAGTCTGTAATTCATAATCTGAAATCTGAGCTAATCTTTGCATGATCAATAGCTTGTTGGTTTCGTTCAGCCACGTCTTCAATATTGATAACTCTGATTGTAAGTAGAAATTCAGCTCTCTGCCATTCTGTCATTTGTCCTGCTCCCTCCTTCCACCCCCACCGCCCATCCCACATTAGTCCCTCCTGAGTCACACACTGGAGGGTGACCCACGTGTTGAGTGAGATGGGGGACAGCTCTCGCATAGTGATCTGCTTCCAGAGCGGGGCAAGCAAGACCATGCCCGAGCAGAGAGTGAACACAGACAAGAACCAGCCAAAACCCTGCATTTTTTTGCTGCTTTGTGAGCAGGGTTAGTGTCAGACCGTTTTGAAGTAGAATGAATCCTTGCTTGTGGCATGGGGACAGAATGGATGGCAATTCAACAGCTGCTTCCCTGGGGAGGGAGAGACTCGTCTCCAGCTGCTCTGTCCTTCAGGTCTGCACATGGCGACCTTGAGTGACTTTACGTGGTGGTTTGGGCAGCCAAGGGCTTCAGAAGGTGATTCGTCTTCTAAGCATGGAGGGAATAGGTCATGGTCGCCTACTGGTGTTGGTCCAAGTGGGCAGTTCTGGCCTTTCCTGACATGGTTGCTATTGAGAGAAGGACCTGTGTCACAGAGGCAGGGAAGTTCAGGGCCAGGGTCACTGTGGAGGCCAGTGAGTGGCAGAAGGCTTGTCTCGATAGGGTGAAGACAAAGCACTCAGATGTGAATTCTGGAATGACGCCGACGGGGCCCAGGTGACTGGCTGGTCTCTTGTTTGGTGGAAACATCCAACTGAGATGTTGGAGGAGGCTGCGGGTGTGGGGACAGCTGAAATGGCACCAGCCAGGCATTTGGAAGGGATTTGGTGTTGGGTTGTTTAAAATTGGGAACTTCTGCATAGAATGGCCCAGAGAAAGAAGCTGATAAATGAATACTTTGTAAAGTCCAGGCAAGCAGGCTCAACAACATGGCACACATCATTCTGATGTTATAAAGAAGAGACAGGAATAGTGAGTGAACAGTTTTTAAATTTTATATTTAAAAAAATTTAATTGGAAAGTCAGATATACGGAGATAAGGAAAGACAGAGACAAATATCTTCCATCCACTGATTCACTCCTTCAGAGGCTGCAATGGCCGGAGCTGAGCCAATCCGAAGCCAGGAGCCTCTTTCAGGTCTCCCACATGGGTGCAGGGTCCCAAAGCTTTGGGCCGTCCTCGACTGCTTTCCCGGACCACAAGCAGGGAGCTGGAAGGGAAGCGGGGCTGCCGGGATTAGAACCGGTGCCCGTATGGGATCCTGGGCGTGCAAGGCGAGGACCTTAACCACTGTGCCATCGCGCCGGGCCCGAACAGTTTTTTAAAAAACATATCTGTTTATTTATTCAATGTATTGAGGAGACAGACACACACATGCACAAGTATATATATATATATATATATATATATGTTGGAAAGTCAGATGATAGCACAGTGGCTCTGATGTCTTGCCATTGAGCCAGCCGACGGTGGCATCATGCGCAGGGCAAACCTGTGTCCATAGCACTCCTTGCACCAGGCCGTGCAGTTGCAAGAGCCACACTGAAGGAAATTCTCTGTCACTCTGCTGTTCTGTGCAGGAGTTTGTCGTTGACACGCCCTGTAAAGATGCCGAGAAGATGTACATTGGCAATGCCATGCACGGGAATTACGCTGCCGTCTTTGCCCAACTCATCATTCATGGAAAATCCCAAGGTTTGTCGCCCACACAGAGAACTAGAACCATTCTTTATTAGTAGCATTCAGGGGATACGCTTTCCTGAACCCCCACTTTTACCTCGTTAGGAATTCAGAACAAGCTTTCTGGTCCCATTTATCATGGCATTTTGATGTTCTGCATGATGATGCCAAATGTGCATAGACCTGAATGAACTTTTGGGGTCTAAATAAATTCATATCATTCCAGGGAATGAACACAGCTTTATTCACAGTTTTAGAAAGGAGGGTTTAATACGATCTCTATCTGCCATAGGTCCCCACTGTTTCATCGTCCCCATCCGGGATGGAAATGGAAACTCGTATCCAGGAGTGACAGCTGTTGATATGCTCCACAAAGAAGGTGGGTCTCCGGGCCACTCTCTCCTGCCTCCTTTCTTCCTCCATAGGAGATGCTAACCTCACTCACCCTCCCGAACAGAAAAGGTAGAGAAATGTTCCCCAGAAAAGAGAAATTAAGCCAAATTCAGTCTTTTCTGTACCTGGAGAAATGGATTGAAAAGAATAGCTTATTTGAGTGTAGAATTTTAAAAATCTGTTCTTTACAAAGGATTGTCAAGAATTTCATAGAAATGCATATTTTGAAAAAAATATTAGCCCTTTTGAAGTAGTTTGCTAGAGCTGGTAGAGTGCCCATTATCAGGGGATCACTCTCTTTTTGCTCCCAGCTTTTTTTTTTCTCAAGATTTATTTGTTTTTGTTGGAAAGTCAGATTTACAGAAAGAGAGAGGAAGATCTTCCGTCCACTGATTCACTCCCTAAGTGGCCGCCAAAACCAGGTGCCAGGAACTTCTTCCAGGTCTCCCATGTGGGTGCAGGGTCCCAAGGCTTTGGGCCATCCTCGACTGCTTCCTCAGGTCATAAGTGGGGAGAAGAGCAGCTGGGATACGACCTGAGCCTATATGGGATCCTGGCACAGGTAAGGCGAGGACTTTAGCCGCTAGGGTACTGTGCCGGGCCCTCTCCCAGCTTCTTGAATGTTCTAGGCATCAGGTAATTTTGACTGGGGTGCTGTTCCACATTTTCTCCCCTTCTTGGGCCTGTGGAACCTCAGAGGACTGCAGCTTTCATGCCCCAGGATCCCCGGCTCACCTCAGTGATGTCTGTGCTTCTGGGGTCCTGATGCCCCCTGAGAACTGATCATATGCATTGGTGTGCCAGGGCAGTGCCAATCACAGAAATGTGTTGTCTCATCATCCTGGAAGCTGGAGCCTGGGATCCAAGTGTTAGCAGGGCTGGTCCCTTCTCAGCACAATCCAGGAGGGCTCAGGCCCAGGATTCCATCATCCCTGGTGTACCTGTCTCCAGTTGCTGCCCTTCCGATCAGCTATATACGTGAAGGCCATCCCAACGACCTCACTTTATATCAGTTATCTCTGAGAAGACTGTCTCCAAGACATAAGGTCACAGCCATAGGAATTCATAGACTCTGTGTGTGTGTGTGTGTGTGTGTGTAAATACAGGCCTACTCAGGAAACCAGGCTGTGAGGCTGTGATTGGGGCTTCCACTGGCTGTCCTTGGCCAAGGTCAAGCCAAACTACATGAGGTAGTATGGAGGAGCAGCAAACAAAGAGGCAAGAAGGGCAGGGAGAGGTGTGAGAAGAAGAGCCTTTGGTGGGAGGGGGCTGGTCCCACCCCTCCCCAAGTGTTCACCCACAGGGACACCCCATCGAGTTGCACTGCCTTTGAATTTGCAGGGCTCCTGAGTGCCTTTGTCAGGGGGTGGCTGAGAGCCTACCTGGCCCTGGCACCTTGAAAGGGCCTCACATGTCAGGTGTTGCCCAGAGCAGAAGGGTGAGCTGTGTGTGTGTGAAGTTGTTCCAGGTGTTGAGAACCTTGACAACCACGGAGAAGTCTGCTTTGCTTTCCTTGAAGCTCCTCAGTGCTTACAAGGTGTGTCTTTGTCAAGGGGAGGTGTTCTGAAGAAAGGCACTTTCCCCAGCTGAAATCTCCCTAAGCTCTGGGCATTCGGTGGGCCCACATTGACAGGTGTCTGCAGCAAATGGCCCTGGAGGGTGTCTGGGTCCCAGGTCCTTGTGGCTGCTTTCCCACAGCTGGCGGGCCATTTGCTTTCAGCAGCTCAGCCTGTGAGTCCAGGAGGAAGCATTGGGAGAGGAAGCCTTTGAGTCCTACCTTCCCAGGGACAGAAAGCTGTCTGTCTAGAGCTATCTTTTCTGGGGAGTGCAGACAATTTTTTTGCATTCTTTTTTTTTTTTTACGAATTGGCATAGAATTGTGAATGTGAAATCATAAAGCATGTGTCTGTGACTGCTGCATTTCCATGGCTTCAGTAAGTGTGTGGAGATGCATATTGTGAGAAAACTGCATGCATTTCAACTTTTTTTTGTACCAAAAAAAAAAAAATCCATTTTTGCACAAACGTTTTGAAGTCTCTGTTCCATGTGTGATCAGATGGGAATAACTGGCATATTCATCACTCTTCCTTTGTTTTTGTAAAAGCAATTATTTGTGTATGGGGGCGAGAGAGAGAGAGAGAGAATATGTGAAAGTGATCTCCTGGCAACAGCTTCACTGCCCAAGTGCGTGCAACAGCTGGGGGCTGGGCCAGGCTGAAACTGGGACCTGGGAACCCAGTGCAGGTCTCTCACCTGGGTGGCATAGACAGCATTTCATGAACCAACCCTGTTGCTTCCCTGAGTGTGGGTTAGTAGGAAGCCGGGATTGAGGAGCAGAGCCAGGACTTGAACCAAGAAAGTGGAGTATCGACTGCAGGCCTCCCTCGTGACGTGTTAACCACCATAACCAGCACCTGCCCCTGCTTTTCTTTCTTACTCACAACCACTGCTGCCTGTACCCTGCAGAAGGAAATATATGTTCTCCTCCCTTCGCATAGGGGAGGAGTGAGCGGGCTACACGGGTCACACACTCAGACACAGCTTACCAGGGAGACGGTGTCCCCTCGAGCTTCCCAAATGCAATAGCACCAACAACTCAGGGCAAAAAAAGGACTGTGCATGTTAGCAGAGGCAGGCTTGGGAGGCTGCAGGTGCCTCTGCAGCTGCATTTTGTTTCTGTCCTCCCTAGGTTTGAATGGTGTGGACAATGGGATTTTAATATTTGACAAGGTTCGGATACCCAGGGAGAACCTGCTGGATAAGTAAGTAATTCCCCCCCTTGACTCAGGTGGCTGGGCCCATGACCTTTTTGTTCTCCCAAGCAGAAACCATGAACTTGGAACTCCATCCTGGTCTGCTATTTGGGTGGCAGGGGCCCCTATACTCCGGCCGTCTTCTGCTGCTTTCTCAGGGGCATTTGTAGGGACCTGGATTGGAAGTGGAGCAGCTGGGACTGGAACTGGCACTTCAATGGGATGCTGACATCACAGGCAGTGACATATCCTACTGTGCCACAAAACCTGCTCTGCACCAACATTTTTTTAAGAAGATTTATTTATTTTTATTACAAAATCAGATATACAGAGAGGAGGAGAGATAGAGAGGAAGATCTTCCGTCCGATGATTCACTCCGCGAGTGAGCACAACGGCCTGTGCTGTGCTGATCCGAGGCCAGGAGCCTCCAGGTCTCCCACACGGATGCAGGGTCCTAAAGCACTGGGGCTATCATCGACTGCTTTCCCAGGCCACAGGCAGGGAACTGGATGGGAAGTGGAGCTGCCGGTATTAGAACCGGCGCCCCAAAGGGATCCCGGCATGTTCAAGGCGAGGACTTTAGCCACTCTGCCACGCCGCAGGGCCCATGCACCATCATTTTTGATAGCACCCTTCAAAGACTGCTAAATCAACGGTCCATAAGTTATGTCAGCAGTTGCTTAATTGTCGGACCTGTGGGCTTTTGTTTCTCTGCAGTAAACTATTTAGTGCCTTTGTCTCCTTCGGGGGTGGTGACAGGTGAGGCATTCCCTGAAAGTTTCACAAGTTGTGATAACCACTGGTAGCTGGTGAGTCGGTGCCAGGACCGCACAGGGAGGCTAGGGTGGGTTCCACAGTGAGGTGGAGGTTCCACTGTCAGGTGTGTTCTGGGGGTGGGGCAAGGGGTTAATGGTGCTCTTTGCAAAGGCTACGAAGCACCATTGCTCTTCCTTGGTCAGCTGCATTTCATGTATCCTGTAAAAACCACAGGACTTAGTGATTGTACATCTTACAGGGCCAGGAATCAACGTGGGCATCACCAGCTCTCACCCTGCCTTCCATTGGGATTTTCCTGAAAAGTTCTGTTCCTTTGGGTGACAAGCAGGTAGATGTGAGAGTTGATGCCCAAAATTTACGAAAACATGTCCTGGAAACAGACACAGGGTGGAGCAATTCTGTTTCTTAAATCCCCACTGCCCACCGTGACTTGGTGGGAAAGAAAATTGAAACAACAGAAACCTCCGTGTGGTTGTCCTGGTGGGTGCTGAAGGGTCACCTCCTGGAGCCACCAGGGTCCCAAACAGCAGATCTGAGGATGCTAACCCCGTCCCCTGGCGGTGCCTGCCTTTCCCAGTCACTCATCAGCCTCATCCATCTTTGAGAATTGGGACATGAGGGGAAAGCCACAGAGGGAAGCTGGTGTGTGTCACCATGCAGGTGAGATTGTAGCAGTCCTGTCAGTTCTCTGCCAGGGGCTGGACCATGAGCTGAGCACTCATCCAATGCAGTGTCAGTGAGAGAGAAAAACGATAGTGTGCTAAACTGATGGTGAAAAACATGAGGATACATAGAGTCTGTCTTTGGTGAGCGATGTTTGATTCTTTTGTGATTCCATTGGCCTTTTGACTGCAATCCACACTCCCCACACTACTGAGTAGCCATGGCAGCACAGGTTTGAGGGAGGAGCCCCTGTGACTCTCACAGGGTTGGTTCCTCACTTGGTTAAAATCTGGGCCAGTCCATAGCTGTGTGAATTCAGTGCCATTCCCAGGTGTCTTCATGAGAGGCAGAAATTGAAAAATAGACTCAGAAATTTGTATGGAATTACAAGAGACTCTGAGGAACCGAAAGTATATTTTTAAATTTGGGATTTGAAAAACATACTGCAAAACTACAGCAATTAGGACAGTGTGGCAGTTCATAAGGACAGGTGCAAGCATTATGGGATAGAATGTGGAGTCCAGGAAGACATCCTCATGTCCAGGGGAAGGTCACGTCCTTGTTGTCCTCATACTCGTGTCCTGCTGAGAGGCAGGTGGGTGGTGCTGCATAACCTACTCTTGCTTCGTATGAATGGAGCCTTTCTCAGCAGGCCCTGGGGAGACACCGGCCCCTCCCCGCTTACTCCACCATTTGGCTTGTGGAGGAGGTTCTGGGACAGCGAAATCTGTGTATCCCGCCTCATGTTACGCTCTTCTTTCTTGATAACTCCCATCCTTCTCACTTCAGGTTTGGTTCTGTGACTCCAGACGGGCAGTACCACTCACCTATTAAGAACAAGAACACAAGATTCAATGCGATGCTGGCGGCGCTGACCCCTTCAAGATTAGCAGTGACTTTCCAAGCCATGGGCGCCATGAAGGTAGTTGACTCTTGAATTGACCTCCCTGTTTCAGGATGGAGGGCACCTGTGAGGGATTTCCAGGGGCCAAGCTTCTGGAGCCACGGTTGGTTGGTGGTGTATCCAGGGCCATAGTTTCTGGAATGTGCTGAGGAGCGTCTTTTGACCATGCGCCGGGAACACTTCTGCACCTTTCAGATGATGTCCCATGCATCTGCATTCCAGATGCATGTTCTTCATAGTGGAGACTGGGGAGAGCATGGGCCTTGTGGCCACAGGCCCATGGGACACGGTCCAGGAAGAGCTGTGGGTTTAGGTCAAGCCTGTCTGTTGGAAACGGCGGCCAAGAGCTGGCCTGGGTGGGCAAGGTCTCGGCTGAGTTCATTGGCAGGTGTTGATCCTCCTGGGGCTGTGTGGGCATAGGCATTCATGGTTCACAAGGCCAGACTTCAGCAGCCATCTCTGCCTCCCCTTGCTTGCACCCTCTCATCATCTAGTTTGAAAAGAACAGCCGGGAGAAGCTCTGGGCAGCCTCCCCTTCCCCCTGCTTCTTTCACACTCTTTCCTCTCTGGGTCCTCTCTGTCTCTTTGGATAAGGGGGAGAGCCTGGTCCCCTGCGCCTGGTGAAACTGGAATGGAACTAAGGCTCCCCAGGAGTGTGTACACATGGCTTGATTTCAGGATCCTGCCAGGAAGGAGTGTTTTTCTTTTAAGATTTATTATTGGAAAGGCAGACTTACAGAGAGAGGGAGAGACAAAAAGATCTTCCTTCTGCTGGTTTACTCCTCCAAATGGCTGCAGCAGCTGGAGCTGAGCCAGTCTGAAGCCAGGAACCTCTTCCAGGTCTCCACCATGGATGCATGGTCCCAAGGCTTTGGACCATCTCTGCTGTGTTTTTCCAGCCACAACAGGGAGCTGGATGGGAAGTGGAGCAGCCGGGACACGAACTGGAGCTTGTATGGAGTCCTGGCATGTGCAAGGCCAGGATTTACTCACTGAGCCATTGTGAAGGAGTGAATTTCATTCACCCAATTTCACATGTGACATTGGCTGCAGTGGCCTCAATAATAAGAAAATCCTTCCTTATTCCCTCTCAGGGGTCTGCTTCATACCCCGCCTGTCCTGGCCCCAGCTTCCCCCACGTTGCCTTTCCTGCTGGTGAGTGTGGCCAAGACAGAGAACCTAACCCACCTGTGGCCTGGTTCCTGTGCTTTGCTTTGCTGGGGCCTTCTCCACTTTAGTTCTGCAGCCCCTTGTCAGGAGTGGCTCAGCCAAATTCAGCTGATGGAGGAGGCTCCAGATGCTGAGCAACTTGGGGTTTCTCCAGCAGGTAGAGGAAATTCTTGCAGCCACCTTGAGATCCTCCCCCGCCTCAAAAAAAAAAAAAAAAAAAGGTAGGAGAGAAGTCAGATGGATTCAAAGAGGAGCTGGAACGAGGGGATTGTGGCTGCGACACCTGCAGATATCCCTTCTAATCTCAGTGGCCTGACTGCGGGGCCTTCAGAGGATAGCGCTGGGTGCACATTAGGAGTTTTGAGGGCTGCTGGGAGCCTGTGCTCTGGCCAGTTTCGGAGTAGGTGAAGATAAGTGAGGATATCCATGCTGTACTGCCAGCAGCCCCAAGCACTGCCGGAGGCCCGTGGTAGGATTGTGCAGGGTCAGGTGTCGAGTAGTGCCAATGAAGTGCTGATGAAGCAGGAGTGGTGGGTTCCTGGAGCCAAGACTTGGTCTTCTGTGTTGCCCAGGCCGGGAGAGGAGACAGATGGGGTGACTGTGCAGGTTCCCGTTAGTCATTCTGCTGAGCCCCCAGGAGGCTTGGGTGTGTGCCTCTTGTGCACACCTCATTCGTGGCAGTGTAGGGCTGTGGCCATGAACCTGTGTTCTGACACTGGAGAACCCTGGACTCACAGCTCATCTTGGCCATGACCAGCAGGTGGGGCCAAGTCGGCAGTTTGCTCTGAGCCTCTTCCTCTGTGAGATGAGGCTCAGCCTGCTGGTGAGGCACGAGGAAGGCCTGGTGCCAAGAGAGTGCGCCCTAGCTCAGCTGTGACTGCTGCTGTGGTTACCAGGCAGATGGAGGTTGCCTGCAGTACAGGGGTCGGTGGGTTTTGCTGGGACTATGTGCCTGACTTTGACCTTGGCCTCCAGGCAGCAAGGGTCTCAAGAGCTCAGGGAAGGGGCAGAGTGTCCCGTAGATTCCTGGGTGCCTGGAACAAATCATGTTACCCAGTATTGGCATTAATTCTGTCTATGTGTTGCCAGGCAGTGGGGAGCCGTCACACAGGGCCTGGTTCACACACGTCTGGCATCCCCCTGCTGGGCAGTGACTCAAGCCGCTGTGATATCACAGTGGGCCTGGCTAGTGAGAGTGACCTCACTGGCCTTGCTGGCAGCTTCTGTTCTACGGCTTGAGCACATGACATAACGCTTTGCCAGCTGAAACCCAAGGCTGTCCTGCTTTTGCCTTGCTGGCTGATGAGTGGAAAAATGGCTCTCTCTCTCTCTCATGCATTCTTGGGGTATTAGGCAACTGTTGCTGCTGCTCTCCGTGGTGACATTTGCTCAAGGCCGAGCATGCCTGGTGCTTTCAAACTTGGCCCTGATGTCTGTCTTCTCTCCATTCTATGGCATTCTGCAGCACTTTCAGACTTCCTCTCAAAGTCTGGCCTCACTTAGCTGTCCTCCAGTTTGTGTCCAAAATGCCAGGCCCAATGAAGCCATCCGTAAGAACACAGGGAAGGGAAATGAAGACGCAATGTGGGAGGATTCTGAAGACCTACTTGGCGAGGCTGGGAGGCCTTTGCCCAAAAAGAGAGCTGGGGACACCATCATGGGTGTGGGAAGTCTGGGAGGCTGAAGAGGGTCAAACCACCCACTGGGGTTTACCTTCCCTGGACAAAAACAGTAAGGCAAAGTGGTCACCATCTCCACGAGCAGCACCCTGAAGCTTTCACAGTTGGAATGGTCCAGGAGTGGGGGTCCATTTCTCATTGCTGTGGACTCTGTCTCCAGCAAGGGCCCAGATACTGCTGGTGCTACAGTTGGGCACCTGAAGAAACTCTGGATGTGACACACAGATGCAGGTGCAAGTCCTCAGTACCACCCTGGCCATCTTGTCACCACCATGGATGGCCTCCAGGCTCCCAAAGATCAAGTCCCAAGCTCTTGTTCTGTCTCCAGGGCCCCGTGTGACCCTCTCAGCCTGTCCTCCTCTCATTGACCTCACTTTGGTGACTTTCCTGTGTCATGCGTGGTCGATCTTGCTCAGGGCTGATTTTCATGTACAACCTCGGAGATCCTACAGCTGGCCTTTCCTCAGTGAGTCTGTTCTGCCCCCAGGACGCTGAACTCTAACCTGCAGAGTTATTGTGCTTCCAGCCAACAGATGGCTGTAAGAATCCCACAAAGGATTAGGGCTTCAATACGTACAAGTTTGGCAGTCCATAACATATGGCTGCCACCTGTGTCACTTTACTTGGGGACAGGGTGTGTGAAGTTTAATGAGAGCATAGGGATGTGGCCCTAACTCCCTAAGATTGTTGTCCATGCATCAAGAGATGGCTGCACATTTGGAGGACACGCCATGGGAAGACAGCCAGACAGTGGTCAGGTCTGCAACCCAGTGAGACAGGCCATACTGGAGACCAACCCCACTGGCCTCCAGAGCTATAAGAAAAGATATTTCCTTTGCTTAAAATCCCTGAGTTTGTTACAGAAGCCTGAGCAGACAATGCCTCAACAGAAGGTCTTTAAACTATGCGTTTTGGCATATCAGGTAATCCTCCACCCGAGGCACTGACATCCAATATGGGTTCATTTTTCTGCTGCTTCACTTCTGATCCTGCTCCATGCTTATGGCCTGAGAAATCAGTGGTGGATGGCCGAAGTCCTTGGGACCCTGCATCCAAGTAGGAGACCTGGACAAAAACTCCTGGCTCCTGGCTTTGGATTGTTCTAGCTCTGGCCATTGCAGCCATTTGATGAGTGAACCAAAGGATGAAATCAATCTCTCTCTGTGTAAATCTGCCTTTCCAATAAAATAAATGAATCTTAAAGAAGAAGGCCATTGGCTGGCAGTGAGTATGGGAGGTGTGGGGAGGGCCTCCCTGCCAGGTGTCCATACAGGCTACAATGCTGGTGGGCTCCTCATCCTTACCTCACTCCAGTGCCCAGCGCTGAACCTGGCAGAGGAGCTGCCCGACAAAAGGCTGTGCTGTGGAGTTGATGGGCTCACCATGCACAGAAGCAACTGGGAGACTGTGTTTCCTTCCAAAACCATTGTGAAGCCTTCAAGAGCACCAGCCTGTGGGGGTTGGCCTCCTGTCTCTGCCTGACCTCAGCCAGTGGCAGTGCCCTGAAGACAGAGCTGTGGGGCTGAGCGAGCTGACCCTCATGGAGAGCTTCATGTACCAGTACCAGTGTGCACCCCATCCTTCATACACACAGGCTGTTACCGTGGGACATGGAGGCTTGCACAATAAAGCTCAAGTTCACTGGTGATTCAAAGCATCAAAGGATGCTTATTTCTCTGCCTGTCCACTCATCCTCCCATCTGTTCATTCCCCTGTCTGCCACCCATGCATGCATGCATGCATGCATCCATCCATCCATCCATCCACCCATCCATCCATCTATCCATCCATCTATCCATCCATCCATCCATCCATCCATCCATCTATCCATCCATCCATCCATCTATCCATCCATCCACTCATCCATCCACCCATCCATCCATCCATCCTTCTGTACACTCAAGCGTTCACCTATCCAATCATCCATCCATTTATCCATTCATCCATTCATCTTTCCACCCACCCCATTACAAAGATTCTGGACACCAGGATGATCATTTCGTCTGTGACTTAGTAGCCAATGGGGGAGTTATGGCATCATGTATGTGAAAACAGTCGCCTACCTGGTAGACACTGCATTTTGGAGAAACTCTGCAAGCTGGCGTGTGGAAGAGGTCTGGCTCTGGAGGATGGTGTGTACATCTTTCAGCAGCAACGGGCTGGTTAAGA